ACACACTCCCAAGGATTGATGATCTGTTCGATCAGCTCCAGGGTGCATCTTAGTTTTCCAAGATTGATTTCCGATCAGGGTACCACCAGATGAGGGTTAGGGATGACGATGTGCAGAAGATAGCCTTCAAGACTCTTTATGGTCATTACAAGTTCGTGGTGATGCCCTTCAGGCTCACCAATGCACCCGCAGCGTTCATGGATCTCATGAACAGGGTCTGCAGGACGATGCTGGATCGGTCTGTGATTGTTTTCATTGATGATATTTTGGTCTACTCCAAGACCAAAGAGCAGCAGGAGCACCATTTGCGAGAGGTGTCGGAGACCCTGAGGAGGGAGAGGCTTTATGCCAAACTCTCAAAATGTGAGTTTTTGTTGTGAGAGGTGCAGTTTCTAGGGCACGTCGTCAACCAGAAGGGAATCTTGGTTGACCCGGACAAGATCGAGGTTGTGGTACGTTGGGAGGTCCCGAGGACCGCATCTAAGATTCGGAGTTTCTTAGGTCTTGCGGGGTATTATCGGATATTTATCTAGGATTTCCCCAAGATTTTTGTGCCTTTGACCCGTTTGACAAAGAAGAGTGTGATCTTTCGTTAGGGGCCTGATCAGCAGTTGGCTTTTGAGACTCTGAGCAAAAGTTGTGTGAGGCCCCGATTCTCGTGCTTCCCAAGGGTTTGGATGATTTTTTGGTTTACTGCGATGCCTCTATTTTTGTTTTGAGAGCTATTCTTATGCTTCGAGGAAGCTGAAGCCTCATGAGGCAAATTAGCCCACGCATGATTTGGAATTGGGGGCTATGGTGTTTTCCCTCAAGACTTGGATGCATTATCTGTATAGGGTTCGGTGTACTATCTAGACCGACCACAAGAGTTTGAAGTATTTGATGGACCAACCGAATTTGAATATACGGTAGCGGAGGTTGTTGGATGTAGTGAAAGATTATGATTATGAGATCCTGTACCACCCTGGGAAGGCCAATGTGATGGCTGATGCTTTGAGCCGCAAGGCGGCAAGCTCATCTATCCGAGATATCTGTTTGAGGATGACTGTCACTTCGCCTCTGATGGATTTGATCAAGAAGGCTCCTGTGGAAGGATTTAAAAAGGAAAATTAGAAGATCGATCATATTAGAGGACAGATTCCTTTATTTCTCAGAGACATTCAGGGGTTGTGGATGCAGCATGGTAGGGTTTGGGTTCGGCATCAGGTGGGGTGAGACACATGATTTTAGAGGAGGCGCATAAATTAAAGTTTTCTATCCATCCAGGGGCCACGAAGATATACCGAGATTTGAGGTTGAGTTACTAGTGGCCCTGCATGAAGAGAGAGGTAGCTTGGGTTGTTAAGCGGTGCCTGACTTGCAAGAAAGTCAAGGCTAAGCACCAGAGACCCCACGACAAGGTGCAGTCGTTACCCATTCCCATGTGGAAGTGGGAGGAGATCACTATGGACTTCATCACAAATTGCCAAGGACGGCACGTGGTGTTGATTCTATCTGGGTCATCATGGACAGGTTGACCAAGATTGTGTATTTCATTCTGATTGCCGAGAGCATATCCGCACAATAGTTAGCTGATATTTATGTTTGGGAGGTGGTAGTTCGGCATGGGGTGCCAGTTTCGGTGGTCTCGGACTATGATGCTCGTTTCACCTCCAGGTTTTGGAGGAAGTTTCATGAGGAGTTGGGTACTCAGTTGCACTTTAGTATGGTTTACCACCCTCACAATGATGGCCAGAGCGAGCAGACTATCCAGACACTCGAGGATATGCATCGGGCTTGTGTGTTGGATTTTGGAGGGATTTGGGATACTTACCTTCCACTGGTCGAGTTCTCCTACAACAACAGTTACCATGACAGTATTGATCGACCACCATTTGAGATGGTATATGGGAGAAGGTTAGGACCCCGGTTTATTGGGGTGAGGTTGGTTATCGGGTCATGGGAAGCACCGAGGTGATGCTTAAGACCACAGAGTTGATTCAGTAGGTGCGAGACCGGCTGCGACTCGCGTAAAGCCGGCAGAAGAGTTATGTCGACCGATGGCGTTCGGATCTCGAGTTTCAGGTGGGAGATTTGGTGCTCCTGAAGGTGTCTCCCTGGGAAGGCGTCATCTGATTCATTAAGCGGGGCAAGTTGGGCCCCAGATTTATCGGACCTTTCAGGATTTCGTCCCGAGTGGGCAAGGTAGCATACTGGCTGGATTTGCCCAATGAGCTCATTCAAATCCATAACACCTTACACATTTCGCAGCTTCGGAAGTGTGTGGCTGATGATTCTGTATTGGTTCCTCTAGATGATATTCAGGTCAATGAGCACCTAAACTATGTGGAGAGACCGGTGGCAATTTTAGATCGAAAGATGAAGGCTCTATGCAACAAGGAAGTGTCATTGGTCAAGGTCCAGTGGCAGCATCGGAAGGGTTTCGAATGGACGTGGGAGCCGGAGGCAGAAATGCGAGAGCACTACCAGTATTTATTCGCGATAGCAGACTTCGAGGGTGATGTCTAGTTCAAGTGGAGGAGAGTTGTAACACATAGATCTTAGGTATTCGTTTTAACCCTTGAGTTATGTTTATTTTGCAAGTATAGTCCCTGATGCCAATTTTGTAAATTTTAATACATTTGTAGTACGCAAGGCGTACACCCTCGTACGCAAGGCGTACTCTGGAGTGCCTTAGAATGTTGAGCGTACGCAGGTACGCGTGGTGTATGCAGTCAAAGTGCAAACCGTAAATTTTAGGGTTTGGACCCTTTTAAGCTCACTTATGGACTCAAGCACCTTTTTACCTTCATCCTCCCTCCTTATCTCGAAAACCCTAAGTGTGTTGGTGCTTGTGAAGCTTTTTGGGGCCATTTTGGTGCATTTTTGGAGCTCTTGGAGTAGAAGGAAGAACATTGAAGTGGTGGTGTTACACTCAATGCTTTGGATCTAGCATTTAGTCCCCCTTGTGTACCTTGAGGAGGTAAAAAGTTTCAAACTTGATGATAGAATCTCTTGGATCTAGTTTTTCTCAAGTTGTTTCCTTTTTGGTCCTAAACTTAGCCTTTGTGAGTAGGTTGTCTTCCAAGGCATTTGAGTTATCCTTTCAGAGGTTTTTAGGGGTGTTAAGTCAAAAAGTTGGTTTCTTGGTCACTAGTTTTCCCCCATGCAAGTGCTAGATGGTATTAATGGGTTAATAGGATCGGGCTTTTTGGTTTTAAGGACTTAATAGCCATGCTAGGCCATAAATTTGCAAACTTTATGGGTTAGGACATCTTATGTGGCCTAGATCTGAAGTTTGGACGTGGGTGCTTAAGGGATTAAACACTTGGTTAAGAAGTTTGCAAGAAGCCTCGTATGCACGGCGTACCGAAGGGTACGCTGAGCATACGAGGTCAGCGCCCCATCCTTCGGTCAACTGCAAGGTACGCCCCGCGTACATGAGGAGTATGCCCCGCGTACTGACTGAGTCAACCCGGTTAACTCGGTTGACTTTGACCTGGTTTTAACTAGGGTCTGACCTGGGACATTTTAGGTATTTGAATGGTAGTCTGAGTTTTGGTGGTTTTTAACTATAAATGTGATCTGTAGTGTGAGTTTTGGAGCAGCGTGTCAGTTCAGCTTTCCGTCTATCTGTGAGGTGGGTTTTCTCACTGTATCAATGGGTCGAATGCACCAAGGCCGACCCATTATTTGTGATATAGGGTGTTAGCTATACTTTAGATATGTATATGAAAGACTAGGATTTGGCCCCTGGCAACTGTATGAAAGACCAGGATCTGACCCCTGGCATTTGTATGAAAGACCAGGATCTGGCCCCTGGCAACTGTATGGAAGACTAGGATTTGGCCCCCTGCAGGAAATTGTTTGTAAGACTATGGTTTGGCCCATAGCACTAGCTTATTTATGTTTCGTATGTGGTACTTTGGGGAATCTCACTAAGCTTTTGCTTACAGTTTATATTTGTGGTTTCAAGTACTTCTGGTACTAAGGGGAAGGGTCCGGCGTGATGGCATGGCATTCACTCCTCACTATTTTCCGCACTTTTGATATTGTACTATGATGATTTGACATTATTATTATGTGATGGTTTTGGAACAATGTGATGATTGTAACTTTTGTTTTTTTTAAATGAAAAAATTTATCCTGGTTTTTGGGTTGTTACATCAAACATAGTACATATAAATAACGTAATACAAACGCAGTATAAGTTAAAAATACGGGAGATCTTTCAAAAGATTCCAAGGGGATTTATAGTCAAAAATCACTCGGTTGCTAATGGATTTGTATTCCTCTTTATCCGCCTCCAAGATGTCTTCTTTAGTATCATTCACACGTGCGTCTTCAATGTTCTTATAAAGATCGTTGAATAACAAAATTTCTGCTTTCAATTCATACCATTTTGCTGCAATATCAAGGGTGTTGCGATGGTTTTCTAAGGTGGTTTGAGCGTCAGTGTTGAAGGTATTGGTTAAACGGGGCCAAAACATTGTATCATTGAACCTGTTGTTCTCGTAGACATTAATATATGCACGAGTTAGAAGCAAGTACTCCTCAGTGGTCCATGGTTTTGAACCCATTGTGAGAGATACAAAGTAGATGCAGTGATATAGATAATATGAAATGATATAGATTTTCAAGTCATTTTATAGTGAAATCTAATTTACGACTTCTCAGTCCGCATAAATGATTTGGCAGTCCGTGGAAGTAACTTGGCAGTACGCCTAACTGACTTGTCAGTCCGCATAACTAACTTGGCAGGCCGCGAAATGAATATAGTAAAAAATAAAAAAAACATATTTATACTAAACGAAATTACTAAAAACAGGTTTTTCATATTAACATACACAATGTTTCTAAATCAAGTTATATAATGTCCCAAATAATATTCGTCATCCTATTTCTGTATATAAATTCTGCATATCTACATGGCTTTTCAATCTTCATCGGGACCCCCGAAACAATCATTTCCATAAACATGCATAAAAAACTCAACAATCCCCTCTATCTTTGATGTGTTTCTACTGCGGCATGTCTATAGCTTCAATAAAGTTCACAATTGCAGTGTCTCTGTGTCCATCGGGGAAATAATTCCAGTACTCAATCACGTCTAGCTCTGAGTTAAAACTATCCCCAAAACTTTCGAATTCTCCACTAACTTTGTACTTATTAAATAAATTCATAGATTGTGCTGAATTATAAATGATTACTATCCACATTTGTAAATCTAGCACTGCCAAAAGAACACCAATAACGTTTGTGGGGAATAAAACCTGCAAAAAAATGATTAATTAAATACATAACAAGTTCAAATGGTAATATTGTATATATAAATAAATATTAAACTAACCATATCCAAATCCTTCCATTTAGGATAGTCTCCAACACCATTTGCTATATTCCTAAAAAAATGTTATTTTCCGAGTTGCAAATTGATTTTTTCAGGGTATATCGTCCACCTTGCAAACATCGGCCGTCTTTCCATGAGCAAGGCACTCTATATTGCAATATGTTGTACATTATAAGATATAAATGTTACAATTAATTATATAAATTATCGTCTAAAAAAGTAGTTAAATTTTAACAAATGTTACCGAAGAAATTAACCACCCAGAGTCAGTAACTGCAAGTAACCTTGACCAAAACTCCACATCCAGTGTGAGTATATGCAGCTGTGTGTAGTGTGGAGGTTGGAAGAGATCGTATTCCATTCTTTCCAAAACCCCAACGTACTAGCAGCATGAAGACTGTCTAACAGTAGATGATTTGAAACATCACAGTGTCTTCATTCACAATTTCTTCATTTGTTTTTTCGGGACACTCCGTTGCTTTTTTTTCCTTGGTTTGGTGATTTTCTTCAATTTTGGTGTGGAGTCAATCTAAAAAATTAAAATTTTAATTAATTATCGACAACGTAATATTTTATAAATACACCAAATTTAGATTAGATTACTACCATTGTGTACGGCATCCGCTGATAGCGTGAAAGACCCCTCGTTCACTGCGGCCTAACAATAGGAGTGACTATTTTTTTGTGATGTTGAACCACCTTTGGTGACGGCTCAACATATTGTCATGTAGTTGTAGGCCCAAATTCCCCATCCAAACCATGCATAAATGTATCATCATAATTCATCCCCATATAAGGGTAATATGTTTCTTCCTCTTCTTCATTTACCATGTCCTCCCCACCACTAAACCCTATATGTGGTTTACCTTTTTTCTGTAATACATGGTCTACTTCATGAGTTAAGTCAGCCACAACGCCTATTAGACGCTTCATTAATGTCTTTGTGATTGTCTTCTTCTTTTCCACCGACCTTGTTGATGTGTCGCTTGACATATGACTTCTTTCTACTTGAGGCTAGTGCGAGGTAGACACACTTGTGGTCGTTTCAGTCGAAGATGTTTTCGACTTGTATTTCTTTCTTTGAGGAGGCGAGGCAACAATAGGTGGTGGACATTGTTTCCGTAGGGGAGATTCTACATGGTTAAGAGTCCAATTCACATAGTGAATATAAAATGGCTCCATGATCTCTGTCTCGTTTGCCACGACAACAACAGGCTGGTTGTTAGGCTGCAAAAATCAGATTGTTAGTTTTACATGAAAAAAACATTGGAATTTGTAACTGTATATAATTATAATATAAAAAACAATACCACAGACACGTTGATTATTCAACGACATTGAACCCAAGATAATGGTGTTTTTCTTCTTCACGACCTCATTCGTGGCAATTTTGTCGGTATGTGAATATAATATTGTGTTGTCTTTGAGAACGTTTCCAAAATCCATATCTATGGAAAAAAGGGAAGTATGATGTTATTATAGTACAAAAATGAAAGTACAACGATATTATATAGTACAAACGGAAGTACAATGCTACTATCATATAAAAACAAAAGTATGATAACTATTTAAATTTACATTTGAAACTAACCTTAAACGGAAGCATAACATCGGGAACAGTAGACTTGTGTATTTTCGTCGATTCGGGATTGGCCTGCATAAATAGTTTAAAATTTTCTATTTTCTCAAACATTCCACGCATCAACCCCAAAGTATAGGTCTAGAAATATGTACCCCATGCGAACCTATAATTTTCAATTTATTTATTATAATTATTTTTGTATTTATACATAATTTCTAAATGTAATACTTGTTCCAATCATATATATTATCCGCAAGCTTGTATACTGCCACGGGAATACACGTTTTAACGTCCCGTCTGTGGAGACCTTTCAACATAAAAACAAGTTGGATAAGCATTACCGCATCTTCATCCTGAAGTTGCAGATAATTCGGAGACATAATGTACTCTTCTAAATCTCTGAGTTGCAAACGTGTATCTCTAATTTCTTGGAAGAACCGAGCCTAAAGATTTGAATTTGACCAGCCTTTTTCGTCATGGAGTAAATCGGCATAAGGACCAACTCTTAAACTACTAATCAAAATATACTCTGTTTCACCAAAATCCAACTACACCCCCTATATCTCAAACAGAAACCTCCCCGATTCAAACACTTGTTGAGACCGTACTTCATGCAACATCATGAAATGCACGAGTAAGGGGTCACCATTGGGGACATGCATTCCTAAGAATCATCCAAACGTTGAAGCTTCAAATAATGCTCGTTGCGATTGAGTTAGCCTTAGAAAATACTCTTTAATGATCGTACCGACCATGCCTTTTAAAGTTAAAACAGCTTTTTGTTTGAGATCATCGTGCTACAAAACATATACATTTAATTTAATATAAAACGTTAGTAATTGAAAATAAAAAAAAAGGTTTAAAATTACATAGTAATATTGCTAAGGCAATAAATAGCAACGTACTTTCAATTTACATTATGAAATTAAAAAAATAACCAATTATACCATTCACATCAATTTACATTAAAAATTAAATAGCAACATACTTTCAATTTACAAATTTTCAATTTTCTATTAAATGGCTCATTTATAAATTAATTGTTATAAAAGGGCAAAAAAAATGGGAAAATGTGAATTTTAGGTCTTTCCGCGGAGGGTATAGATCACTTCGCGGAGGACCCTCTGTCGAGTGACCTTTCCCCTCCGTGAAATGGGTCTTCACCATTGTAATTCAATTTCAGATCTATTTACGCCTATTTTCCAGTTTTGAATTCCATATTCATACCATTTCATCCTAAATCTAAACAATATGAAAAAGGAAAACATTAATCTAAAGAACGTGAAAACGGATTACCCGCGAGTCGTATCCTTCGGTGAAAATGTTGGGGAACTGCCGATCCATTTGTTGTCACCGGAAAATGTTGTTGGAAGGGTTGCTATCGATGTCGTAAGAAGGGGTGCTACGATGTCGTAAGAAGGGGTTGTTGTCGACGGCTGTTATCGATGCGGAGAAGCGGAGTGATGTCGACGGAGCAGGGGAGACCAGAGGGGGAGACCAAAGAGACTCGATTTTACAAAAGAGAAAGGATGCGGATGGGATAATTTACGAAAATACCCTAATTCCGCGGAGCTATTGTCAGTCTACAGAGCCCGTAAAGGGGAGCTCCGCGGAACCTATGTCTATAGCCGGAAACCCGTTTTTTTGTGTAAATTTTGAAATTACCCCCTAAAATATGTTTATATCCTTCTTTTTCCCACATATGTGTCTCGCACATGAGTATATTTTGGTTTTTCTTTTCAGGTAGGATCTTTTACAGATGTCGTCTTCTTTCTCTCTCTCTCTCTCTCCCGCTCTCTCTCTCTCTCTCTCTCTCTCTCTATATATATATATATATATATATATATATATATATATATATATATATATATATATATATATATATATATATATATGTACACATAGGGTTAGGTTATTCTATTCTAACTAATTATTGTGCGGACGTATGGACAATGTTATTCTTTGAGAATGATAAAGAAAATATGTTGTTTGATAATATAAATACGTTCAATCTTACATAACTATTGTCATTAACACATATTCTCACTAATTAAATCATTTATAAGGTTATTATACACTTATTATTATTATTCTCATTTATGTCAGAATGTTTATTGACTCGTATTCTGTCAGAATTAAAATGAGTGAAAAACGATGTGTGAGAACAAAAATAAATAATAATTAGCAAGAATGCATGAAAATGATGATATTTTTGTAAGGTTGAACGTATTCGCATTGCTAAACAACTTATTCTGTGACAACCCGAAATTTCAATCTTGTACAAACCATTCAATCCAATCAAAGTTAGACTTGTTTCTGCAAACTTTTAGCACTGTTTAGAATCTGTTTGAGCATTCTGAGCTTAGTACATCAAAGGAATAAGTGAATGGAAGTGCCAATTGAAGTTGTAACCTATCAAGCAAGTCATAAACCCTCAAAAGAGGAGTTTACGGCCAAGGACTATGAGTTTACGGCCGTAAACTCATGGTGGCCGTAAACTCCATGCTATATAGATGGCCCTTAGTCATTTTTCTTCACTTTTACCATTCCAAGCCTAGAAAAATCGGATTCTCTCCCAAGGATCATTATATTTTGCTTCCAATCTTCCAAAACTGTAAGTAAATCATTCCATCTATGTATTAATACATCACTTCTTCTTGATTAACTCTTGAATTCACCCATAAATTCATCTTATTGGGTCTAGATCTTCAAGATCCTCAAGAACACCAAGAACACTTAACGGTTTTGGGCCGAAAACACCCTCATTTGCCTTCAAAACGTTAGTAAACTACCCTTAGCTTGTTGTATACTAGAATCACATGTTAAACATCTAGAAAACATCAAGAAATCATGATCAAAAGGGTCTTTACGGCCAAGGCAATCTCCCTTGGCCGTAAACCCTAATTTGTGGTGCAAAGTTGCCACAACACCTTCCTAAGCCTTGAAACTAAACCTAGAACACTTCCAAGATGATTATAGGACCTTAACACACAAAATGGTACAAGATACCATGAGTTTACGGCCGTAAACTCATTGGGCCGTAAACCCATGGCCGTAAACTCATGAGGGTTTACCCTTGGGTCGTAAACTCGAATGTGAGGCCCTACAACCCTTAGATACAACCCTTTTGTACTTCTAGAACTTGAATCAAAGTGTTTTCCATATCCTACGGTGTCTTTACTTGCTTAATTAGTTGTTTAATCACTAATTAGACACATATATGTGTCATTATATGTTAAATAGGATCCGTGTGTGCTCAAGTCTTCACTTGACACTTAGCATCCTACCCAGCACTTCCATCCAAACCACTCACTACAGGTGAGTTCATACCCCTTAATCAACCTTTCAAATGATTTTAAATGTTTTCATGGGGGGGAATACAAGTTGAAACATTATAGTTATTATATCAATCACATGTGATTAATAACTGTCAAACAAATGGATTTACTATACTTTTAACTGCTTTATCAAACAAACTACTTCAAAATGTTTATCAAACTCTTTTACATACTAAACTCTTTATGAAACTTGTTCTTTATATGCCAAACCTTTTTTCTTTTAACTTTTCAAATGTATATATTGTCAAACCATGTCTAATGCATAAATAGTTATATAAGTAACGTTTGAAGGACTTAGGACTGATAACTCACTTTATTTCATGTTCCTTGTTTGGTTGTGGACTTAGAGTACCCTGTTGTTTGTCCGAGTGTCTTTTGATCCTTAGTTATATATTTTGTATATATGTATAGACATAAAAGCTGTTATTTCAGTTCAAAACACTCAGCCATACAAACAACATTACTAGTAAACTATAATAGGTATAGTTTAAGAGATTAGTACTCACTATTACTAGTACAACGAAACATACAAGAGTCAGTACATTTATGAGTCATTACAAACGTACTATAACGAGAAACAATACATACTATACACTATACAAGAGAACATACTATGATGAGAAACTAAGAGAACTAACACTATACTATAATGAGAATATACTACACAAACATTAGAATACGATAATTAGAATGTGAATTACTATTTCGGATACAACAAGGCATTGTTGTATCGCATTGTAACCAGAGTCTCCTGGAGGGAGAGTGGGCATCGTGTGTATAGATCTATACGGGAGAGACACTCCCACACCCCGACTGCTAGCTACAGTCCCAGCCGGTAAGGCCAAGGGGTGACAAAATGTGACCTCACTATTTTATGACACCGAAAGGTCGTCATGTATTCAGCCGTCAATCAGCATGGTTACAAACTAGTTCACATCTAAAACTTTAATTAACCGGATAAGAATTAAAGGCAATAAGACTCCCCAAGGAGTATAGTACATTTAATACGACTTGGAGTCTTTCATTTTATCGCTTTACAGTCAGTAGTGTCACTGCTGAGATAAAACATTATT